TAATAATTTTTTTATTTACTTCATCTATCTTCTTTCGCGTAGATATTTGTCACAGAAAATTTTTATTACACGAGATTTAATCTGCGAATAAATTAATATATAATTATTCCAGGAGAAAAAGAATTGCAATTTTAAAAAAATTCAAATTACCTTTGATGCTTTTCCTTTTGTGGATACAAAAATTCTCGATTGATTATTATTTAAGTAGTAGCAAGTTTGTCAAAGTATATAGAAAATGGCTGTAAATAAAATTAGTCCGTAGCAGAGGAGGTTTCGAGAAATAGAAATTCGCGTGCGTGAATGTATGCTGTGTACGCTTGTATAGATAGTATCTGGAAGGATGTGATTGTCCTACTTAGGAGGTTGTACAACGCTATGCGGATGACGCTCAAGTCCAATGTTGGTGAGAAGGCCATTGGCAAACTTGAAAATTACACCATGATACATGTATTTAGTAATTAGCGATCGTTTAATTAGTCTTTATGAAAAAAAAGAGATAAAAACTAGTAAATTTACCATGTTTTAATAGCTCGTTATCTTTGGACGTCAATTTCTTTTTAATGAGTATTTTGATGCGGATCTTGATATTTATACGTACTTGATATTGACATCAATTTAAGTGTATAGTCAATTGAGTTACAGCATTCTATTATGATCTTCTTTCTTTGTTTTGGCGTGTCATTCGCAGCTCGCAATAAACTTCATTTCTCATATACCTTGGAAAAAATGATTGTTAAAAGAATTCGACATGATAAATTTTCTAACAAAGATGGCAGTATGTTATTTGAAAATAGGATACTTTTATTCTGTTAAACTACAATTTGATTATTTAATATTCAATTATAATACGCCGAACTTTTTAAAAATCTATTATCAACGAAATCAATATAAATTTAACATCAAACGATTGTGTATTTTTACGAATGTGTATTTTTTAAATTCACTTATTTGAAGTTCACTTTCTTCCATGATGTTTTCATATAATCGATGTATCGATGTAAACATAAAGATGAGTGAAGTATCTTACTTGTTTCATTAATTAATTTCTAATGTCCGATACGTGCCGCGTGCTAATAATACAATAATGCATGTGACAATAATGTGACAAACGAATTTTATTGACTCTATAGTAATCTCTCATTTTTCTTACAGTTTTCGGACACCGTAGCGGACCTATCAGAATATTTTAAATTTTATTTAGAATTTTACCCCCTTGCATTATAATCAAGAATCACTTGTCACGCAAATAGATCAATACGTTTTACTAGAAACTGTGAGATTCAACTATGACACTATCACAATTCAAAAATTCCAATGAAATTAAAAAAAAAAAATATGTAAGTTAAAAAGCAGTTAACTCCGTTTAATCGGTTATTCTCACATTTTATACAGAACCATTTTATTCTCACTATTTTATACAGAAATAATTTTTCATTTTTATACAGAAATAATGTAACGTTTTAAAGTTCGAAAGAAGATTTTGACGTTGATGTAATTGTATAACACTAACTGAATGCGATATAATTGTACAACACTACACCGACTATAGATGTGGGCTTGTCATCAGTCTAAGACAATTACGTTAGAAAAGGCGTATAGTATCAAAAACGGTCATGCGATGAAGTCAAGCCATTTAATTAACTACCGTTATGTTTGTTTGGGCCGTTATGCCTACTAAAGTGAAAAGAGCTAGAAGTCTGCTAACTACGAGCCGTGCGAATTTCTTGAAACTTATTTGTTTAACTATTGGAAAAGGTTAACGATTGTATTTTATACGTTACATTTATCAGACAGTGAAAAATACATTTTTCATCACTTATCATTTTTTTCATCATTGAATTTGCAATAATTTTAAATAATTTTACAAGAAGTGGTAATTATAATTATTTTCTTTTTATTTTAACGTATAATTTTTCACTTTTGTATATTTTGATAAACACTTACTATGATATTGCTTACTATGATATTGATGCTATAAGTTGTTAATCAGTAAAGAATGTAACACTTTTATTAATATGAATTGAAAATAACAATATACACACTGCTTGATTCAGATGATTTATTATGCGTTTCATTTTAGTATATTTAGTATATTTAGTATATTTAGTATATTTTAGTATAGTATATTATAATATATTTTTTTTATGATGTAAGATATTTACATGGTGTGGATAATATTTATAAATAATGTAATCTTGCAATAATTTTGCAGAATATGTGCAAAATGCACAACAAAAATTTTTGTCCAGAATGTATTTTGTGTTATCACGGTAAAATTTAAATGTTTACTTCATTCCAATGTTGGCAGTATTTTAAAAAAATTTGTTTTTCGAGATTTTTCACTTTATAAATTAAACTATTATGTCTCTATACTATATTATGTATTACCAGCATATTATATATATGTTATATATTACCAGTATATTATATATTACTATATATTATACCAGCATTGATCTATCACTGTGTTTTGTAGTTACAAATGTTTTGAAATTAGTCCCTCTTTTCACTTCCTTGATACTCTCACTCTTCTATCACCATCATAAATTTACTCATAAGCAAAAGTAGTATTATTCTCTCATTGACTTCCTTTTGAAGTATGCTTCTTTACAAATTGCAATATCTTTCTTTCGTATATTAAATCAATATTTGAATTCTTCTGTTTATTGCGGTAATGTTTCAATATTTTAGGAGAATGCCATACTCCTACGTTTTTCATTTAGCATTGCTGTCAATTTTTAAATTTGTCTTAAAATTGTTAGTTTCCTTGAGAAGTTCACCACCTGTCAAGTTCAAGTTCAGTCATGCTTGACCATTTTATTTTATAAGTGGAGCGTAAGATTACGTATGCAGGAATTTCTTTTGACTCAACGTGCCTTCACACCTGTACCTGATAGTTAATGTTCAATTTGTAACGTGCATTGAACTTCATAAATAAAAATATCTCGCAAGAGATTTTCACAATAAGATATTCAATAATCATTAATTTTGAATTATAAATTTATAAATATTAAATTTTTCATTTACATAATATTAGAATTTAACACAGTTTTAAAACAATTTTATTTAATACTTAAATCAATCAATTGAAATAAAATCCAATTAATTTATAAGCGTGCTCCACAAGTATGTTCAATAACTTTTATTTAATGATATTTGCATTTTCAAAAAATTAGTGGACAAGTATTTGTAACTTCAGGAATTGTATCACATGGATATTTTCATTTTTTCTCTCAGGTCTATTAGATTCCATAACGAGTACAGCCAACAGTGCAGATTGTCCAGGTGTGTGTGTACATGCATTTGCAACGTTAATATGCTACGAAGTTCTTGAGCATGTAGAATGCCCTACTAGTATGCGATGTTGTATTGAGGCACCTATAAATGGTACCGGAACTTCTGAAAATGCTGTCTCTCCACATGACGATGATTCTACTTCAACTATTATCACTACCGTTAAGACAACGACTACCACGAGCACAACAACACCTTCTACCACTACTGCACTTACAACTGTATCTTCAACAACATCTGTAAAAGCTACATCCGTATGTTCACAGAAGTTGTACATTAGTATTACAAATACTTATATATACTAAAATATGTTTTATTTATTTTTCAGGAAAGTCAGAAAGAAGCAGTGAATAAAACATCATGTATGTACCTTTCATCTGTATATATTATATTCAAGTAAAATTGGATATTTTGCTCTATCAATGATCCTACAATGTTTATCATATCAATTGTTTTCTTCTTAGCAAAAACGTGTTCAGGAATCTGTATGGCAGAAAGAATTGCTGATTACTGCGATGCGGTTCTGGTAATAGATACCCTTTGTAAGCCAGGATACAAATGTTGCGTATCCAGAGATGCATTTGGGGATTCACCTCCACCAGAACTACTAGTCATCGACCGAGCGAATTCAAGTCGTTTCGATGAAAAGACTGGTCTCAACACATCTTACAAAGGTTCCTCACCTTCTACAACTATGAAGTCAAATATGATTACTTCTACGAGCATAGCTAGCACTACAATAGCAACCACTACTACCACTATAACGAAACAACCAACAACTACGATAAGACCAAAGATTACAGTGAGAAAGCCATGTAAAGGTGAATGCGTTAGTGGCTTCTTCGCTCTTTTGTGCGACAAAGTGGATGGGGAAGCTGAATGTCCTGATGATGGATCTTGTTGTGTCATCGATGCTTTCTTAAAAACGGTAAAAAGATGAAACTATACACAAGTACATATAATGTTTAAGACAGTGGCATAT